TAAATGGATGTGGTAACAGTTTCAACGTGTGCTGTAATGCTATGTGTGAACATACTGTCAATCATATTAAGCACGTCAGGGACAGCCTGATAAAATGTCTTATTATATTTTAAACATGTAGTTAATGATGCTCACATTCATGGTAAACGGTTGTAAGTGAGTGCTTATGGTAAAACAATGAAATAAAACAACAATATTGATATGCAGATGAGGTTTCACCACAGATTTGACTTAATTACCTCCCCCAAGGAAGTCATGTGTTTACCCCTTTTGTTTGTTGGTTGGTTGGTCAAGGAATTTCTTGTGAGACAGGGTCTTTTTTTAACATTTTCACTGATTTCCCTGAAATAATTCTTGATGAAAAAATGAGGCACATTTAGAGGACTGACATCATGAGTATGTGCAATCTGTTTCAGCTTGATTGAGGGGACTGTTGCGTAGGGAGGTATGTTCTCTTCTGACTGCCATTACTAATCAACTACTTTGTTATATCTTAAGCCTCATGTACCTTTTTCTCCGCAGTGTTTTATACTTTCTGAGTCAGCGCTCCAGCAGCTAGATGGAGCCCAAGTCTTCACTTACCCACAATGTCCCTTCTGATTTAAACGGACATTATCCATGTGACTATGGAGGCGCCATTTTGTCTGAGTGAGTTTAGAAACATTCTGCATAGAAAAATCTAAATTAAAAATGTGATGCATGAAATGGAGCTGAATAATATTTTACCATCTCAGATATTTCAACAGTCAACAGCTTTATACCAATACCGGCAGAAAGAAAAGTAAAGTTCGTCTCAATGACCAGTTGTAAGCAGCCATTGATTTACATTAAAAAAATATGATATTGATTCCTCAGTAGTGATACAAAATATTAAGAGTTGTTTTGTGTTATTGTGTTGTGTCTTTCCTCAGAATACCAAAACCAACTGACATAAATGTAGCGTGAGTACTCACACATTCTTAACATGTTTTCCTGTGTCTGCCTCAAACATTAGATACCCTTCATCTTTTATTCCTTGTGCCTTTGACAGGAAAGAAATGATAAAAGTTCCAACTCCAAGGGAACATCCCTACTCATCCCACATCTCCCGGTTTGCAATGTTCCCATCGTTCCAATCTCCAGATGACCCCATGACAGGAGTCAGAGCTGCCTCCCAACCTTACCCCAGCTGGCTCATCCCAAACAGTGCACCAGACGTCACTCTGCGGAGCAAGACATTTGGTAAAAATGCTAAATATTGTGGTAAAATTGGACAACAGAATAGATTTCTCCTGAGAAGTCTGAAAGGTGTCTTTATTTTTCATGCAAAGGTGGCCCATATAGACATGAAATCTTGGAAACGCCAATAAAAACCAGACAGAAGGCTGTTACATGGACAGGAGAACACAGCTTCTGGGATGTAAGTAATAAAAAACATGGCTCCATGTTGTCAATGTCAAGTTAATCAGTACTTGAAATACCTCAACAACTTCCTCCAGCAGTCAAACCCATCGCAGGGAGAGAGCCAAGTGTTCTACCCGACTCCTCCAAAGACGGTGCTGCCCAACCCTAAACTTCGTGACTGGGATTTGTCTTTATCTGAGCGGACGAGCAACATGTTGAAAAATCTGGAGAGGACGCACTGGATCACCTCTTACCAAATGGACTACAGTGGTAATGACACTACAACATATATAAGCAGGAAGCTAAAACAAAGTCATGCAACAATACAGAGTCCAGTTCTGTATATTAACATAGTTGTGTAGACCCAGTTTACAAAGTCAATTACAGTCCAATAATTAGATATTTTCTCATTTTGAAATCAATATCAATAATCTGCCATTTAAATGTGATATTTTGTAGAATCCGGGCCAGCAAATCCTTTGAAAGTAGACGACTTCAAGGAGAAAATGAGCGGACTCAATGGGATGAACTCACACACTGCAACACTGGTAAACACTTACACACTGTGCAGTTTTTTTTTAAAGTAACATACAGTGTGCAACACTAATCTCAATGACATCTTTTTTCCGACAGAGAGAAAGGTCTTATCCTGTGTTTGTTCCCTCGAAACCAAAACATGCGTGTAGAAGAAGACAGGGGAGCCACGAGGGGAGGAGCTCCTCCAGTCCCACTGCTACTGAACTCCTGAATCCATCCTCAGCTCTACAGCAAGGAGCTATTATAAACCAGCTTAGGCCACAAGAGATCACAGCTCAGCATAATGAGGCCCTGGATTTAAATCCAAAGGGCCACAGTTGGTGTAGGAACAGAGCACAGAGGGATGAGCTGTCCCAGGGGGCCTCATGCACACCACAAACTCTAAGTAAAAGCTTAGTGCATGAGGACGGGGAGAGGGGAAACTGCAAAGTCCAGTTTGATGAAAATCTCACGCAAGTTTCCATGTCACAGAGCAACCAGGAGGCAGAGGGATCACAGCAGAATTTTAAAGTTGCAGGTACTGACTCACACACTGAGTCACTATTGAGAGCCCCTTCAGAGCGGGAGGAAGCAGCAGGGGGCAGAGAGCTGGCACACAGCATCTCTAACCCCTGTATCCTGCCGAGGCCCTGCGTCCTGCCCGACATCCGTCCAGGAGACAGAGCTGGAACTACGGGAGGAGAAAATGCTGCTCTGTGCCTCCTGGACCTTCAAAACTCATTCAGTAAGACGGCAGCACATCGCAGTTTCAATAACTCCATAACACGCACTGCTGTGGACCTGAGGGACAACATGGTCACAGGTAGACAACACAACTTCTACGGGATCAACTGCTATTACCTGCATGGATAAACTCCTTATATATATTTTTAACCTCTATGAAAGAACAAAAGTGATATTTTGATACTTCAAATTTGACCAATTACTAATTAGGTCTTAATGTTAAAATACAAACATCACTGATTTTTCATCATAATTAAAATGTTTTGCTTTGAAAATGATTTAATCTGATTGTATATGAGGCTTGATTTCCCCTCTTTAAATTGTTCATGTTATGTAAAGAGATTAAGTTAATTGTTAATTAACTTGTTAGTTAAAATGTAAGCTTTTTGTCTTCAATTCATACATACGGTATATCATAAATATCTTCAAGTGATTTTATATTTAAAAATTTAAGTGAAGTGAAATCATTGCTTGATCAAATTCAGACACCTAAATTCAGAAATGAAAAAAATTCAAACCTTAGATTTAGGCTTCTAAGAGTAAGCATTTCAATCTGTCAGAGCAGGTAATGTTCTTTCACAAAGGATCCAATCTGCCTCAAATACAAAAGGAAGAACTATCCCTACTAGCCTGAATGTTGAAGTTAAAGAAATTCATTTTTTGAATATGGCAGACTTTAATTTTTAGATGTTTATTTATACATTTTGAATAAGTTTTTTTTTTAAATACTTGGAACTTACTAATATATTGGAAGGTGTTTTCATTTCAACTTTACTGCAGTTATGGATGAATTAAATGACACTGTAACATGTTCAATGGGCTGTAAGAGTCAAATTATCACAGATTTACTTCCAAAAAGTGCTTGGCATGAAATAAGTGACAGATCATTAAAGTCTGTACGCTCACATTTAAAGTGTTGGATCTTTGCTCTATGACTCTTTTCCTTTGAGAAACTTTCCAGATTGTTTATTTAACTTGTACAGTTATCAGTCAGGTTGATCTGCAAACATTGTTAATTTGCTCTTTTATTCCCCACATTTATTTTACAATATTCGTTAGAGTCCATGGTGTATTATACAATAATCGCCTTATGTAAGGCTCCCGTAAGCCACGGCTCATTGTAAGAGTAAAATGAAAGAAACAGCCTTCAAAGCCTCCACGCTTCACACACAAGACATATTCTGCAGCAGTCAGTTCATAATGCTGCACGGATGAACACTTTGATCAACTGTAACCTCTCATAATTTCACAGTGAGGAGCTTTTGTATTCAGCTGATTCCCCCTCAACCCACCTCCCCAATATAAAATGACCCAGGTCACCGTGGAGCATTGTGCTCTCTGTGTTGTAGCTGCTGCAGTAACCACCTTGGCTCCACAGTGTGAAAGAAGAAGAGGAGAAAAAAAATACCTTTTTGCACTTAATCTGTTGCTGACTCGCTGCTGTGAAAGGATTTTTTGTGACAGTGCGTCCTTGAGCAGCAAGACTGCAACCTTGAGTGATATAACAGTTTCACATTCAGAGGTTCAGAAAGAAAAAGAAAAGCAGATAACACTGGCCCACACAGTAAAAATTGACCGGTGTGAATTTCTAATGTTGCAGCTAATCTCAAATTGTGAGGTTTTTATTCCTAACAATGTAACACCTTAACAACAGCTAAGGTAATGTGTTTTAGTTTTTTATTTGTAAACAAACCTGTTAAAATGTACTTAAATTACATTTATTATCACCTAGATATTAAAACATGTTTGGTCTCTCATCAGGTTCATACTATTATTTTGCAGATTATCTTGCAATGTGACCATAGACTGTATGTAAGAATGTGACTACATTTCTTTTATTATGAGCACTGATGAAAACCTGTAATTCAGCCATTTCTCCAGTAGGTGGTGGTACATAATCATTTAAACCATCACAGGATGTTTGAAATCATGTTTGAATTCTTTCTTTGTGTATTTCTTGTTTCTTTTTTCATGTTTATCATGTTGTCATCACATATTGCTATTAATCCTACTTCTTTTCTAGATATTATTTAAATATTAGCTCAATATATATAAGTACAAACATTAAAGGTTAAAATACATTTGCAAGTAGTCTACATAATAAATCAAAGCCTCCGTGATTAAATGAACCATCTGCATTGTGGTGACCGTGTCTTCACTGTTTGCCCTTGCTTTTGGGGATCCTCCTCGACACGTCACGGAAAAGATGCTGTCAATGAGACGAGCCCCGCCCCCTTTGCGGTGACGGCAGCCTCTGTTCTGCAATTCAATTGGACGCAGCTGCAGCCTCTCACTCACCACCTCCCTCCCCCACACGCACGGAGGCGGAGAGAGTGATGCTGCTCAGAAGGGCCCGAGAGCGGATGGTGCAAGTGTGTGCATGCCAGAGTGGAGTCAGGGAGCCTGTGTTCGTTCAGGGTGTTATTTTGAGTTTCAGCAGCTTTAGCCTCCAGCGCCTGAACATTTTTGTCTCCAAGCTGAACACCTTCAGAACCTGGAGGCCACATCTCTGACTCTGTCAAGGTGAGTGGTCTTTACTGATGTTTCTTACAAGACTAAAGTAGGAGTTATTCTCTCTGGGGTCAGCAGTAGGATCATGTCAGCTGAATATTCATTTAAAGTGGAGTTCCCAAGCTCTTTATGTAACTGAGGTTCAGTAAAATCTCCTCAGACTGAAGCTTCAAAGTGAAACAACAGCAGGAGATCCACTTCAAACCTCCAATTAAACCTGTATATTCCCTTTTTTTTTTGCAGTGTTCTTGTTCAGGTATGATGATCACAACATGTGATTCAGAAACACTCGCAGATCCTGTCAGTCTCCATGGAAACTCCATAAGCCCACCTTTGGTTTATTCCTTCAGACAAGTAAAGGCAAGTTGTGGAGGTTTAGTCCGCCCGCTAACATATGAGCTGTAGGTCTGTGCATTCTTTCAGTTCAGCTCATCCACAACTCAAAACTGTGAATCTCTTCATGAGGCTGTGTCTCATGCTGAGTGCATGTAGGTGTGTGTGATACAGTGAGCACATGATCCACTTTCAGATTGAATCAAGGAAACTGCTATAATGTGACCTTGTTGTTTTTACTGTCACTGTCTTTACCACGTTAAGTGTCTTTGAGTACCTTTTAAAAGCGCTGTACAAATAAATACTCCACAGAGCGAAAACAGGAATATGGATGATTTCAGATGAAGAATGAGAATATTTAGGCAAGTTGTCAGCACACACCAATAATTACAAATCTCTGGAAATCAAGCGTAATGATAGTGATTCCAGTTCTCAATATAGGGCTCGTGCCAAAGTTTCCCAGTCATAATCCTAAAAGATCCAGCAGAGTCAAAGCTGTTCTGTTTGGCAAAATATCACCATGGCTAACATAAGTATAGCTTTCACTCCACGACATTTATGGTAGTGTTGTCTCAGCTCTTTTGGGAGTTGTGCATCAACAGTGGAACAGAGGAGGCTTTTCAGGTGCTGCTTGCTGGTTGTTTGTGTGTGTCCAAACATGTTTGGGGATAAATAGGGACCACTTGGGATTGAATGGCATGAAGGAAGGCGGGGTGGTTCTAGCAAATCCTGCCTCAGACTTGGTGCACACTTGACAAAGAAGATCAATGTCAACTTGAAATTAGGATTTGTATTCTCGAAACTATTCTTTGACAATAACGTGCTTGTAAAGGTCCGCTTTGAGACCATTTCTCTTTTTCCACTGTCACTGCTGTGTTCCCTGGGGGACTGTGGGTTTGTTTGCAGGCAAATCAGTCACTTCTTGTTCTTGCAGCTCCTGAGAGTTTTTATTTTTTTCATTCCTGTCACACCCAACTCAGTGGCTGCAGTGAAACACATGTGAGACTGTGAGGGAGAGGAATCAATGCGATCTGTGGAATGCAGCTGCAGGAAAGAAAAACATCTGTCTGTGCAAAAACGTGTGGTTAAAACAGCAGCGGGGCATTTCACTGCATCAGGTCCTTACCTCCATGGTAATTTCAGTTTTCCCATGTCAGGCTGAATCTTTTTATGAGTGTGCACGACCCTGTAATCTATTAGATTCCACTGTCTGCAGCTGTAACGTATTTTTTGTACTGATGCTTTAGAGCAGCACGTGTTAAAGTTGAAGTGACTTGCAGCCAGTGTCATCCTAATGGTGTAAGTCTTACAGTAATCTATGCAATGTTGCTCCAGGGTCTGTGCTGAAAAAATAAAATATAAAAAACAAATATTTTTTATTACATCCACTAACCAAGAGGTGAATAATACAGAAAGTGGATAAACTGGACCAACAGAGACGTTCTTGTGAGCGTCTCGTGCGTGTGGCAGGTGTTTGCTCTTTTTGCCTGAGCAGTAGACCCCCATGAATGAATCATGTCACATGTGCAAACAGGTACAACACAGAGTAACATTATGGGCCCTGTTGGCATTTTTAGTTTTAATTTAAAAACCTTTCATAAAAGAATATATCAAGTGCAGGTTTTTTATCAGAAGCCTAAGAACAAAACAACAAATAATAGTATTAGAGTTTCACTTGTATTGAATTAATATGACCATTACGTCATTTTGTTTGTTCATTAGTGATATGGTTTTTTAATGGCAGAGTGCTGCTCCTGTCCTCATCCTCCTCCAGGCACCAGAGAGGCTGAGGGGAGCTACAGGGCGGATTTCCTCACTCCTTCAGAGACCGCCATATATCAGCATGAAATTTTAACGACACCGGCACCCGCAGATACTTTTAACTTCAAAACAATAGCACACTCTGAGAGCAAAGTCAAGTTTCTACTGAACTGCTCTATCCAACCTGCAGTTATTCTCTTGTTTTATAGGACTAAATTATTCAAAAAGTTCAGTATGTTAAAAGATAAAAGCTCTGATGTGAATAAATAATGTAGACGTCAAGTCCTGAAATAATATTTCCAGTTTATCATTGATGATTTTTTTATGTCAGGACAAATGTCTGCAGGTCAGACATGGTTTATAATTGACATATTTACAGTCAATAATTAGCTCCTTATAAATACTTATACAATGAAGGACATGATCATAGTCTAATTTCATAGCATATACACTGCCTGTCTAAACTTTAAAATGCATGTCTAAATATTTATTTATCTATCTTTTTATATTCAAGAGCCCAGACTTATGGTGATTAGCATGCAGGTTCACATTATCGGCCAGTCAGCTCTCTGATTTACCCAATAATCAATATTCCTGGACATGTACAATCAAATATTGTATATATATGTATTCTTGTACACATTTGTAAGCATTCATGTTCCCAAGAGGATTAATCTTAATGATCCTTTAGCAATCCATGACTTCAACAGGTTGACATTTAGTGGTTCAGAGTGGAATATCAGGGTAACTACAGGAGTGGATTGATATTTGCTATTGACTGATATTTGCAATAAATGCTCAATGTCCCAAGAAGATAAATTTGACTCCAGGGATCCTCTAATTTAAACTAGCAGCTGTCATCAGGTCAACCCAATACTTTGGATTGTGGCCCCAGATAAGTAATGGCATATTCCCATCACCCTTAGCTGTAATTTACTATGTGCTAATTGGCAACATGCTAACAACATAAACCAAGATGAACATGGTAAGTTTAACTTTACAAACATTAGCATTGTCACTATTTGGCCTCCTAGAGCTGTTTGCATGGCTTTTCAGAATATTTCCCACTTTGCATCTGTTACTGTATCACCTCTGTGGAGGGCAATGGAAGACAATGTCGTGTCTGCACTCCAAGGACTTTGTGATAGGCTGTGCAGACGTTCTTTCCTCTCTTTGTGATTTCTCTCTTTAAGGCCTCTGTCTTTTTGACTCCACGCAGTGTTGTGAGAGAGGGGCCGCATGTTAATGATGTAACTGACGATGCTGCTGTTGCATCCCAATCCAACCACTGTGATCTTTTGGGAATCAACAGCTGGATCGTACTGTCACACTATAGTTGCTATATGTCCTGCATTCGTGTTTTTTCTTTTACCCCCCCACTCTTTTTATCAGTGGATGTCTGCGTCCTAATGAGTGAGTGTTGAGTTATGAGGCTGTCATGCTCCCACACAATGTGATGTTTTAACAAAAGAGAGGCAGGAGAAAGAGATAGAGAGTGGGAGGGAGGATGGAGGTGTGGGAGGGAAGGGAGTGTGATGAGGATGTGGTTGATTAACAGGATGCTGATCGAGTGTGCAGTACACTGCATAGTCATATCTGAGACTGTAGACATGAATGAAGAGATACCCTGTGCAGCAGGAAGTTAGCGAGAGGGAACTTTAAGTGCCTGTCTTAGTATTGTGATCACAACCACAAACATTTTCTCTGGGTGTGAATATGATGAATATAGAGAGAGGTTCAAACTCCATTTTCATCATGTGAGATTACAGCGGACAGTGCGCATTTTAAGCTCCGCAGCGTTGAGCCTGTTTTTTGGAGTGGCTCCCCCACCATGGCCTTGGCGACCTTTCACCATCCTGCCTTAAGCAGATCAGGAGCAGGCGTTACCATCTGTGTGCTCCATGCAGAGAAGGTGTGGCCGCACGCACAAACAAACGTGGGCTGGCAAACATTAACCTGCCTGATCAAGAGATGTACTAATGAATAATAGATGTCATGTTGGAATGAAGCCATGTTTTGTCTCCTGGCTAATGGCTTGCTAGGTGCTGCCCTGCTGACCTAAGATAGAGCGTGTAGGATATATTCTAAGACACTTCTGTGGTGCCCTGATTCTGCAGATGGATTTAAGAAGAGATTTCTTAATCCCAGTTGCACTGCTCAGGTCTTTTTGGGGAAGAATACAGGGCAGACGTAAAAGCTGGAGAAGGAAAATAATTACGCCACCAGATACAGTGACAGTCTTGGAAAATACAGAGAGACCTTCAGGACTTAACGGTTCTACTCTTCTGACATGAGTAGGAAGCTGATGGAGCTCTGTTCTCGCTGCTCTTCGACAGATTGGAGCCCTTTGAAGAACCTGATCTGAAACTCTAAACACATCGGCTTTGAATGACACAAAGAAATACTGCTTTTAGATTTCAACCACTCTTTCCCCTCTTATTCCTCCCATCAGAGTCCATGTATGCTAATGTTGTTGTGATCATCATTTCATGGAGTTTGTGTACAGAAAAGAATGAGACGCGGTTGATGAGAGTGCTCTCAACCATCTGTGTTTGCCGCTGGAGAAATGAAATGGTGGTCAGTCTTTAGAAATGGTGTTTATTAAGTGAAATCAACTGAAATTTTTCATTTCATGTTTTCAGGACTTTCCGAAAAAATTAAAAAAGGGCTTGAACATCTTCAAGTTAAGAGTCATACAATCATTTTGGGAAGTATCTTGACTGGCGTTCTCGCTTATAGAGTTAGATTAGACGATATATTTAACTCTAATGTTTGTGTGGTTCATTTTAAAGCCAACAAGCTTCTAACTGTGGCTTTATATTTATCTTTATCATCCAACACTTATTTCCAACACACTCATATTACACTGAATCGTATCATGATGTTAAATTGAACCATAACTTCAGCTTGTTAATGCT